GGAGGTCGAAATGCCCCCTCCGCCAAGATTCCTTCAATTGTGCATACTGTTTTATTCACTCTTAACCATCTTTTGTATCCCCATAATAGGGAGTATACACCGGCTGAGATTCACTTTCGAAAAGCAGAGCCTTTGGCTCACCCTCTTGTGTCTTACAGACAGCTACCTGATCCAACATGGCATGGCCCCGCTCCACTTATCTCCTGGGGACGCGGCTACGCGGCGGTGGACCTGGATGGACGGCCTACCTGGTTACCGGCGCGCTGTGTGCGACCCTGGCGAGCTTCTGCCTCGGAAGTGAAAGCAGCAACGAGCCATACTTCACCCTCTCTGGCGGACGTCGCCTTCCTGCAGCCCTGAGTCCCTACTGCACTTGGAGACATCGCCATCTGACCCTGAACGTGCCGTGGTTGGAATCATCTGTAACAGCGATACCAGTCATTCCTGCAAAACTACCAAACCATCTTGTACCTTACTCTTTGCAAGCTCCACGACGCTTCTGGAACCACACAATAAGGTTCCCTTATGGTTTTGCGGCTGCCTGCTTAGGAAACTCTCCTGGCTATGAAGGATGCCCGCGATATACAGGTCTGGCATGGGTTTTGCCGCCCCGTGATAGTACCCCTATTTGTGTTCCCACCACAAATTGGGAATGGTCTTTCAAACATTCCCTGTCACCAATTAACAAAGCCTATATTGGTCAATTGGGATCATGTGTCTGCCGCACTGGTTGTTGGACTAAACCAGGTTTTTGGTTTCTGAAAAAAGGAAATGTTGCCACCCTCTTCCACAGGGGCTGAGAAGAGGTGGCAGTTGCTGTCCTTTTCCCTTATAACCCATACTGCCCACCTGCGCAGCTCATCTGGTTCCTGCAACATTGGCCGAAACATAAAAATTCTACTGGCTGGCTACATCCACAGCACCTTCGAAGACATCGACGCTCAGCTAGCCATGATCCCAGCATTTTGTCTAAAACAAATCGTTCAGAGGACTATCATGCCATCTGGACTGATAATACCTTTGTAAAAGACATGGCTCAATTGTCAAAGATTTTGAATTATACTAATTGTTGGATTTGCATGCACATTCCTCCTCAGGCTCGACGCTCTGGCATATTGCTACATGGTATCCCCATTAATGATTCTTTTAAGATAAGTAATAATCTCAAGATTAACCGCACACGTTTTCCACCAGTGGCATTGACCTTGTTAGAACAGGCAGATAGGTGTTTTAGGTTTAAACATAATACATCTGTATTTCTAGGGAACTACCCTAATTGTGCCTGGACTTATGAATATGTCAATACCTCTTCTTGTTTCTTGAACACAACCACACGCAGTGGAAGGCCACCAGTAGTTATAGGGAATGTTACCTACCATATGACATGGGGCCAGCATGCAATGTGCAATGATTTTGATGGATGGATATGGTGGATGAAAAAGAGTAGTAAGACATCCATGGTTTTACAAAATGACCTTTGGCTTTTCTGTGGTAAGAAGGCCTATAAGGAAATCCCCAGTAGCTTTTCGGGGACCTGTACACTTGGTATTGTAGTTCCATTGATTTATAAGTTAGATAATATATCCTCGCTTCGGCTTCGCAATAAGAGAGATGTTAATGCTCCTATAGTTCAATATGTTGAAACTGCTATTGCTAGGGCTGCCATGCCCCCTCTTGGTGTTGCCATGAATTACAGGGACCTCCACAGACTCTCCAACTGGACAGAAGGGCTATTCAATGCAACTATAAAAGCCTTGAAAGAAATTAATCAATAAATGTCCAATATTCGTGAGGTCACCCTGCAGAATCGCTATGCTTTGGACACCATTTTGGCCTCCAAGGGAGGGGTGTGTGGTTTAGTGTTGTCACACTGCTGTATGTATATAAAATATTATAATCTTAGCATTTCTACAACTATTGATGAAATGGAAGCCATGGTTAAGCAAAATCCGATCTCACATCTTCCCATTCCTGACCCTTGGGAATGGCTTTTTTCCTGGCTCCCCGATGGATCATGGTTTCGTCATTTATTGCTAATAGGCTTAGGATTGGTTATAGGATTTGTGTGTATTTGTTGTTGCATACAATGTATTCCCTCGCTGATTACCCAATGTATGGGGTGGTGGTCTTCACGACGCACTTCCTTAGGTGTACCCCGCCGAGAATTTGTTGCCCGATATACGAGCTTTTGCAATGAAATTTATGACTCTGATTAAATAATATAAAGAAAGAGGGCATGTGGGGGTGCAACAGAAAAATAGCACCCTTGTGCAAGATTGTGCAAGAGGAAACATCTGTTGACTTGTTTCCCCACCCGCCTGGGTCAGTGTCGAGCTGCTTAACCACAAAGCCTACGTGGCTGTCATGCTGTCTGGAGTTATGTCCTGGTAGAGAATAGCTATTATTAGAAATGCAAACCCTAGCTGTTTCCACCCGAGTGCTACACGTGTATATGCAACATGATGTTATGTGCACAAGGCTAATAAACATGCAAGGCTGCTGGGAGAGAGAGGCACTCCTTGCTTAAACTTTACCACGGCTCCTCGTCATTTTCCTCCGCACCTGGTGGGCTGGTTCCCCGACACAGTTTCAGTTTAATAACAGACCTCCGGAACGAATTAAGTTCTTAACCCAAGGTACCACTGTAATCATATAATATTTTCATTTAAGCCCAGGACATGCTAACTAGAATGCTCTCCATAAGAAATGAGAAATTGAGCAAGATTGCTTGTGTATTTTTTATGTAAGGGGAGGTGGATATTTTCCAAAATATCATTAAATTTGGGATATGTGAGATAAATAGGTTTCCTTTGAATTCTTCCATCCCTTTGGAAGTGGGTATTCTCTATTTTCTTTTTCAGATTTCATATGGTGCATTTGAAACATCCACAAATGATCAAATTAAGTTCCCTTCCTTTTACCACATGGCTCCTAATGAAGCTCTTCAGTATCAAGGAATTATCCAGTTGCTTCTGCATTTTGGATGGAAATGGGTTGGGCTCATCACTTCAGCTAATGAAGCTGGAGAACGTTTCTTGAATACCATTGAGCCAATGTTTTTCAAAAATGGGATCTGTTCAGCATTCACAGAAAGAGTTAAACAACATGTTCATATCACTAGTAACTCATTTAATATAGTGGGTGACACAAGGATTTTGTCCCCAGCTTTCATAACAAGCAAAGCAAATGCAGTTGTTGTATATGGAGAAAGTGCATCTATTATATGGCTGTCAACTGCTCTAAATATAATGAGGTTAACTCAGTTGATACTTTCCCAGTCCAAAAAGAACTTACCTGAAGGAAAAGTATGGATTACCACAGCTCAAATTGATTTCATAATATACTTTCTTCAGAAACTTATTGATGTTAATATACAAATGTTCCATGGTGCTATCTCTTTTGAAATTCACTCCAAGGAAGTTAATCATTTTCAAGATTTTCTGCAGCATGTAAATCCTTCCTGGGAAGAGGGAAATGGTTTTATCTCAGGTTTCTGGGAACAAACATTTGGTTGTTCACTTACAGACTCTACTAAGTCAATATACAAAGCTAAGCCTTGTACTGGAGAGGAAATGCTGGAGAGCCTTCCTGCGCCATTTTTTGAAATGAGCATGACCAGCCACAGCTACAGTATCTATAATGCTGTCTCTGCTTTGGCACATGCCTTACATAGGCACTTGGCTGGATCCAACCACAGAAGAATGGAGGCTGCAGGCAGCCGATCTCCTCAGAATATAACGCCTTGGAAGGTAGTGTTTGCTGTTACAAAGAGTTTGTTTTGCAAAGTGTTTGTGCACTCCCTTGATATTTTATGTGAGTTGGTATTTACTTACAAAGAATGAAAAATATTCAGTTACAGAAATAAAATTTAAGTATAATAGATACAATATCAAAGATGGGAATTAGCATATTTCTTAAAACGATACAGAACCAATACTGGATGAGGGACTTTCATAAGCACCAGACTAGCAGCTACCTGAAGACAGAATAGCTGCTAAATAACAGCAGCTGAGAATGAGTTGGAAGTAGTGTTTTCCAATATGTCAATTGGCATTTAATTAGACAATTTTTGTAGCTTTGGGGTGCATAGTAAAAATGGGGTGGGTAGTAATAGAAATTCAAACCATGTTTGGTTAGGTGCAGCGTAATTGGTTAAATATATTTGCTAGGAAGGTGTTCCTGTCTTTTTTTTTCTTTTGCTACCTTCTGATTGTATGCACTGTTCTAGCAAAGTATAGGGATGCCATAAAGCAAAAAGAGAAAGAAAATTAAAATCAAGCACATTTTCCACTTAGCCACCTTGTGATGTTAACAAAGAATAGAAAAAATATAGGCAATCCCCTTCCCGCTTTGAATTTCTTAAGAACTTTCTGACTCACCCATACAAACTTTGAAAAACCTTCTCTGCACTGCCAACACCAGCAAAAGCATCAGAAAAATCAACTATTGATTTGCAGAGGAGAAGGGAGAGATTGGTGAAATGAGGCAGCAGAGTCATTTGGCATTGCACAAAATATAACTAATTATTCAAATGATCAGTATTGAAAAAGTATCTTTAAGGTTCAAATATACCTTTTTTTAAAAAATAACATAGGGTAGGAGGCGCATCCTAGAATAACAAACTGCAGCTTCTCAATAAATTGGTAGTGGGCTTGAATATTGTCATCCAGAGAGATTGTTCAAAACCTCTTAAAAATTGCAAGAACATATCATCACACAATACTGATTAAAAAGTGAAATGGAAAGGGGGCATAAAAGAAGTCTTTTGACATGACAGCATGTAATTTTTCCTCCATGTGTGGTGTGTGTTGTATAAATGCCTTCATTTGCAGAAAAGAAGAATGATTCAGCCAATTCTACGCTGTCATAAATTATACGTTGAATTAAAACTTTATAAACCTTAGTTATAAAGATCTTGAATGCATCTAGGAAAGCTATTCAACAATTTTAATCAGAATGTTTTAATACTTTATAGACCTTTTGATTCTCTTTCCACCTAGCTTCACTCATTCCTACAGAAGATCTCATTCAACAACTCTGTTGGTGAAGAAATTACATTAAATGAACGTGGAGAATTAGCAGCTGGTTTTGATATTACAAATTTGATCACTTTCCCAAATAGATCCTACATCAGGGTCAAAGTGGGAAGGCTGGATCCTCAGGCCACTCCAGGGAAAGAGCTCGCCATTAATGATGGGCAGATTGAATGGCACAGGGACTTGACTCAGGTAAGGAAATAACTGCACAGTCTGTCAAATTCATGGCTATCCCATAAAATGGAATGCAATGAAAACAAGGAGGCATTTTTGTCACTTAGCACTGATTAAATGTGAAGTTTGCTGGGAGAGAAAAGTAGTCTTGAAGAAGAGGAAATTCCTATCTAGATGGATACTATTTTAATGGAGAGAATCTCTATTTGAACAAATGGCTTAACTTGTGGGAACATGCTTGCAGGTTAGTTTAAAAGAGCCTACTTGTTGCCCAGCTGAGGTTTATTGCACTTTGCTTTGAATTAGATATTATATTGAATAATATAGGGATTTTGTCTTTCTATTTATTGTATATTGGTAAGCCAACAAGCAGTAAGCAATATACTTTAAGGAATACTGTAAGGTCTAACACTAAACAAACATATGAGCCACAATACGAAAAAGAGCAACATGCTCAGAAGACATCTCACATTGAGAAGGACCAATGGCTATCAGATACTGTTGTCAGACATTCTTTTATGTGAAGTCCCAGAGGGAGATCTCCAGTTTGTGGAATATGATAGAATCCTATGATTGTTGCAGCATTGCCTGGGCTTAAAATGAACATTATAATATCCTGGATTTTGTATGATGCTAGGCATAGCTGCACCTAGTGCATAAACCTAAGCTGGGCATAAAGAGCCAACCACAAAAGCCACTTGAGACCCTAGTGATGAGTTGGAATCTCAAAGTAGTTCCAACCTATAAACTTCTTCCTTCAGATTTAGTGCCATCCCTCTCAGAAGAGATCCTTCACATAATTCTGAGACACAGAAAACACTCACCCAAAGAACACTGGACTTATAAGGATTCAGCCACCATCCTGTCCAGCACAACCTTCAGACAGCAGTTCAACACCTTCACTGGTTCTCCTAATTCCTACGGAAAGCCGAGACAGAGATGCAGGTCATCAGTATACTTGTGACACTGTCCTCCAGATTCCTAGAAGATAGCCGCTATTCCATATAAATGTTGAATCATAAAGATGACTGAACCTGAAACCTTGTGGGCCAGCACAGCCCCAAAGACATGCAACTAAGCAATACCCTCCTAGTATTACTTACTAGTAACAACACTGCAGGTAGGAGCAGAATCATTATACTACAGTACCTCCAATTCCCACATCCTTTAGTTGCATCATAAGGACACCAAGTGACATTCGTGAAGGAAACAGCTGTGGTTCCTACAACTGGCATAGTCAATTTATTGAATTCTAATAAAGTTGTATGTATAGCTATGCCAAATATGTATGCTCAAATTATATTGGGCTCGTATGATGCTTAACAACAGCATTTTATCCCATTCTATGCGTCACCTGTGCACATACGGATCATATGTTTCATGTTATCGGCTGCTCCTTTTGCTGATAGACCCCCTGGTGTTAGATTAAGTCCCATAAAATATTTTATTAAAAAATAAATTATTCTTATATTTTTGGATAGGTGCCACCCCTGTCAGTATGTAATGACAACTGCCGTCCTGGTTACAGGAAGAAAAAGAAGGAGGGAAGTAAATTTTGTTGCTATGATTGTGATCCGTGTCCCAGCGGGACATACTCAAGTGAAAAGGGTGAGAAATGTCATATTAAGACCAAACTACACCATTTATTTAGCCAACTCTTAAGTCCTTAAATTTTTGTTGTCACTAAAAGCATGGAGGTGAAAGGATTAAAATTGTGGTGTCTGTATTGTCCTCATTGTTTGCAATATAATCTTTAAAACACCCTGAAGAAAATATTTTTAGAAAGGGAGGTAACCTCTCTCAGTTCAGAAGATTTTAGCTGTGATAATGCTCTCATTTCACTATAACAGCTTGTGATTCTAAGAAAGAGGAGGAGGACCACTAACACATAGAGATGTCTTCATGTAAGAAATCTCCTGATTTGACAATTTAGATTTATTTCGATATCCTCGAGGCAAATGTCTTTGGACTTAGAAATCTTTTGAAAGAACATTAGCTAGGTGAACTCTGATGACAAAAATCTTAAGAATTTTCTTCATAGTTTCAAATTCTCCTAATCGTTTCTTTTCAGACATGGCAACATGTATCAGTTGCCCAAATTTATTTCTGATATATCTCAGACAAAAGTCTTTGGGCTAGAAATTTTGAAAGAACATTAGCTAGGTGAACTCCTGATGACAAAAATTCTTAAGAATTTTCTTCATAGTTTCAAATTCTCCTAAACATTTGTCTTTTCAGACATGGAAACATGTATCAGTTGCCCAGCAAATAAGTATCCAAACAAAGACCAGGATAATTGCATTCTTAAAATACCAAACTTTCTGGGCTTTGATGAAACTTTGGCCATCATTTCAACTTTCTCGGCACTACTGTTGTCTCTGATCACAGCTCTAGTGTTTGGCATCTTCATTAAACACCGGGACACTGCCATCGTCAAAGCCAACAACAGAAGCCTCACTTACATTCTCCTTGTGTCCCTCCTCTTGTGTTTCCTCTGCTCCTTGATGTTCATTGGAACACCTAAGGAGGCAACCTGCCCACTCCGACAAACAGGTTTTGGCATCGTCTTCTCTGTGGCCCTCTCCAGTATCTTGGCCAAAACCATATCAGTGGTTTTGGCATTCATGGCTAACAAGCCAGGATCCACAATCAGGAAGTGGATAGGCAAAAAACTGGCTTATTCCATTGTCCTCTCCTGCTCTAAAATTCAAGTAGGGCTTTGTGGTCTTTGGCTGACAACTTTTCCCCCTTTCCCAGATTTGGACATGCAATCAATGAGTGAAGAAATTATATTCTTATGTAATGAAGGGTCAGTCCTCATGTTCTATTGTGTTTTGGGCTACATGGGCTTCCTTGCCATTGTCAGCTTCACTGTGGCCTTCTTAGCCCGGAAGTTGCCAGACAGCTTCAATGAAGCCAAGTTCATCACCTTCAGCATGCTGGTCTTTTGCAGTGTTTGGATCTCCTTCATTCCAACCTACCTGAGCAGCAGAGGAAAATACATGGTGGCTGTGGAGATTTTCTCCATCTTGACTTCTAGTGCTGGATTACTGGCTTGCATCTTTTTCCCCAAATGCTACATTATTCTTGTGAGGCCTGACCTGAACACCAGAGAACATCTAATACAAAGAAAGATCTAAATAATATTAGAATTTGAGGTCCCATGGTGTTTTTCTTTGTATTCTACAGTGAAACATCAAAAAATGAGAATAAATAAAACTATTTCAGCAATTTTGTCTTTTTTTCTGGACTGCAAAATGGTTGCATGTTATTTTTGGAGCCCATTCTGACCAAATGAGGCAAACATGAGCTTCAATTGAAGAAACTGAAACTCCGAAAGAGAAAGAGAAACATCAACATTATTCTATAGCTTTTCTGATTAGATAGCTGATATGAATGAGAAGTAGAGATAATATATGTACAGTGGTGCCTCGCAAGACGAAATTAATCCGTTCCGCAAGTCTCTTCGTCTTGCGGTTTTTTCGTCTTGCGAAGCACGGCTATTAGCGGCTTAGCGGCTATTAGTGGCTTAGCGGCTATTAACGGCTTAGCCGCTTAGCGGCTTAGCGGCTATTAGAGACTTAGTGGCTTTAAGAAAAAGGAAACAAACTCACAAGAACTCGCAAGACGTTTCATCTTGCGAAGCAAGCCCATAGGGAAATTCGTCTTGCAGAACAACTCAAAAAACGGAAAACTCTTTCGTTTAGCGAGTTTTTCGTCTTGCGAGGCATTCGTCTTGCGGGGCACCACTGTATTATAGTATAGTTTTTGATTAAGTGATATATGAATTTAAAAAACTAAATTTAAAAAGTTACATTATTTTGGAAAGGCCTGTATTCAACAGTAGAGAGCAGATGATAGAAAGAAATAAGTAATCAACAGAGATGCTTGTAGTTTCACTTATGTTGTTGGTATCAATGTAGGAACATGAGGTCCTAAAAGTGTAAATTGGAATCCCCATGTGTGTGTGCAACCTACCTAACCCCTAAAACAAACTCCCTTGTGAGATCTTTTACTAGAGTCAGCTGGACACAGCTCTGAGAATTGACCCAAATTATCTCATGCCCAGAAATGAGCTCTCACAAATTGGACTGCTCCCCACAGAGTTGGTTTATTACAAAATAATAAATGATCTTTTAATAATAGATTGATTAGTATGGTGCAGAATATATAGAACTATGGGTGCATTTAAAGTAATATCCTCATGCATTCAAACTCATAGTAATAGGTTCCTACACCACAAGGGGAAAATAAAGGGATAGAGGATAACAGTGTGTTGCATGATTCCCAAACAGGGCTGGCCCTCCCATGAGACAAGGTGAGGCAACCACCTCTGGTGGCAAGATCTACAGGGGCAGCAGGTCCCAATGTAGATCTTTATTCCCCACTTGTTCCTGATGGAGATCTTCACTCATTCCTTCTTCCCAGGAGAGGATGGGGATGCCGTTTTGTGGCTTACCTCAGACACCAAGATGTCTTGGGCCAGCTCTGCTCCCAAGAAGATAGTGATTGATGCAGAGTTTACCTATCCAGCCACTGACTAGAGCAACCTCTGCAGCTGTGTGGGCATAAGGATGTGCTGGACCCAGGATCTAGGAACAGGAATTCTATGCCTGAAGTTATTGCACTTCTGAATGATATATCTGGCCTTCACACTGACAAGCAACTTTACTAAAATCTAAATTGACATCATCAGAGGCCGTGTCATTCAATCCTCCACAAGTAGCATCCAATACAAAGAAAGCTATAAACAGAAGACTTTGTGGCTTCAAACACGTTCTTTGTGTTCTACACCAACATATTTAAATTAATTAGGACAATGTGGCCAAATGAAATTGAGGGGGTTTTATGATCAGATGGTGAACATTTTATTTATGAAATAAAAAATATTTTATTTCCGGGTTGCAGAATGGTCGCGACAGAAGTTCAAATGCAGATCCAAAGTTCAACTGAAGAAACTGAAACTTTGAGTTGGAAAAAGAAACCTCAACAGAATGCAATAACTTTCTTAATGGTCAACTGATATGAATGAGGAGCAGAGATGATTAAACCTATTATTTATTTTTATGAAGCAATATTGAGCTTCTGGTTGTCAGACCATTGTAATCTCTGGACCCAGCAAGTGTCAGAATTTAATTAGGGTTTGGGACGCTAAACTGTGTATTAGACATCTCTAATCCCCTGAATCAGCAAGCTAATTCAGACAAGCTAATTTCCCGTGAAGTGATAGCCTGGGTGACGGGTCATTAAGAGAACAAAGGATCAAAGGGGCCTCGGTGTGAAATGGCAAATGGGTAAGGCCCCACTTCCTCAACTGATAAAGATACATACCAATAACATTCCATTTTACAGACCATTCTAATACAAAGTTTTCCTCATGCCAAGGAACAGAAAATTACAATTTCCCCACATATTATCCACTTTGCCTCCTCCGTTGCATTCATACAGTTGACCTAGTTACCCGGAAACCATTGTTTCTTGGTGAGAACTTGCTGCTCACACAAATAGAAAGTTATCATGTTGCTTCCACTGAAGACTTGCTAACAAGGTACCCACGAAAGCACCCAGAGCAGTATCTAACATCACCTCATTTTTGCTCTTCTCCATTACATGGTTGCATACACACACAAAACAAGCAAGAAAAACCTTGTTCTTCCTAAACTATAATTCTATGAGGTGATAAATATATTTACTTGGCAGCTCTGCTAATGATGATGCAATGTGGAGTCGTAAAAAAAATGGCAAGAAGTGATTGTCTCCCCTGTAATTATTCAAATTACAGTAATTAATTCACCTTGCCAATGCTCCAGAAGGCAGAATATGGGGTGGGGAGGGGGGGTCAACAAGCAAGCCTGAAATGTTTATAGTACCCCAGTGTTCCATAGATAGTTAGGATAATGCAGGAGAGAGAGCCAGGCACTGTGATTATATCGGCAAATTTTCAAATCACTTCATCTTATTTACCATTCAAGGCAGGTCTTTGTGACAGGGTTTAATGATAAGATGCATGCGTATCCCTTTAAGCACTGAACTGGCAGAGTCTGCTGCCTCCAAATCCATGCTGTTCAAATCAGGCTGCTGCTGCTGATAATAATGATATTGTAGAGAGGCAAAGAAGAGTCCATGTGTAGAACCTTGCTGCTGCTGCTTCTCTTGCTCTTCCCCAACATGGTGTGCCAAGTGCATAGTGCTAATTTTACCACAACTAATCCTGTACCTATTCCACATGAGTGGTATGAGCCAGGTGACCCTGTCATTGGTGGCATAGCATCTCATATCCGCTACGTCTTTCCCAATGTTTTATTTAATAAACACCCCTCTGAAGCCTTGATTGACAACCCACAGTAAGTAAATAGTCTTTAAATATATTTTTTTCATTCTTTACATTTTTATATTTGACTGAAACATGCTTTGAATGAATAGTTTTAGAACTGCATTGATTTGACAGCCTGTAATTATTTGAAGATTTGATAAACTGTATGAGAAACATCTGTACATACAAAGCATGGGATACAGCAACTCGCCTATGAGAAAAGGTTATAACATTTTAGTTCTGAGAAAGGTGAGCAAGAGGTGACATTATATAGGTGTACCAGATTATGTATGGTGTGGTGAAATTGGATAGAGAAAAGTTTTTCTCCTCTTTCCTAATACTAGAACTTGGGGAAATCCAATGAAGCTAAATCAGAGCCAGTGTGGTGTAGTGGTTAAGAGTGGTAGACTCCTAATCTGGTGAACCAGGTTCGTGTCTCCGCTCCTCCACATGCAGCTGCTGGGTGACCTTGGGCCAGTCACACTTCTCTGAAGTCTCTCAGCCCCACTCACCTCACAGAGTGTTTGTTGGGGGGAGGAAGGGAAAGGAGAATGTTAGCAGCTTTGAGACTCCTTCGGGTAGTGATAAAGTGGAATATCAAATCCAAACTCTTCTCTTCTTCTTCTAAATGTGGAAAAATTTGAGACAAGCAAAATAACCTATTATTCACAAACTGCATAGTTAAACCATGCAATCTGCTCCCCCAAGAGGTAATGGAGAATGCCTTGAACTTGCCTAACGACTGGCTGCTAAGATAAAACAAAATGAGCCATAATGTTGGTCTTAGTTACTCGGTTATTCCTAAATGAAGTGGCTTTTTAAAAGAAGAAATTACCTATGTGATTTCCAGTCTCCCATATGAACTTTGACTAGTGCAGACGTGTTTACACATGTTGGTGTTCAAGATCTTTCTTACTAAACCTTATTACTAAATGGCCAATTGTTCTTCTATTAGCATTCTTTCAAGGACTCAGTGACTCATTCCCTTCCACCTTTCTCCGATGAAAATAGGGACGCCCTATTCAAGAAGAAGAAGAAGAAGAATTTTACTATTTATTTCCCACCCAACACACTGGGTTGCCATTCTGGGTGGCTTTCAACATATATAAAACCATAATATTACATTAAACATTTAAAAACTTCCCTATACAGGGCTGACTTCAGATGGCTCGGGGTCAGATAACTCCATACCCCCCCACACAACATTTATCCAAGGAAAGTAGGGACATCTGAAGGAAAAGTGGGACATTATGGGATTTATCAGGGACATCCCTGGATAATAGGAACACTTGGAGAGTCTGGAGTTGCCTCTTCAGTATTTGCTGAAAGCTACATAGTGAAGTTGCCAGATGCACGTCTTGTGGGAATTAGACTCTAGTTCACATTTGCAGAGTGTGCGAAAGTCAGCCCTGGGTCGTTTGATCCTTTAATTAGTTCTCTTTTTTCTCCTATAAAAACTATGCAAAACTCTCTTTTTTAAAGTTTAAAGAGCCAATAACCTTTACTCAGTATACTTGCAGTTGCAGATTAAATACAAAGCATGTAGCTGAGACTTAAATAGCTAAAACTTAGATAAAGCTGTGACAGACTCTGAGGCAGAAAGCAGCACAACAGTTTATAGCTGTTGCTCTCACTGTTAAGACTGTTCAATTACGTGCAATAACTGTCATAACTGCCACAAAGTGTATGACATCACAGAGTTCTACAGCTCTTGAAGTTAACCCTTTACATATGCATTTTGGATGCCAACACCCCAAATTTCTGAGGAGAAGGTGGAGCAGAGAGTGCACTAGATATCATTTGACAGGCTCTACTGTGATATGAAACACTGTCTGACTCTGAGTGATATTGTCCCCAAAGTGCCACCCTAAATTGTTACAGCAGGCTGATGTCAGAGAAACGCTAACTTGGCCAGATGACAGATACCCATTCACTACTCATAAAAGCTCTTCCATATTGCTGTTTGTCAGTGCAATAGTGGCAGAGAAGTAAGCACTCTTTGCCACCGCCATTGCTGTGTGGTTGGTGTGCTAATGTTCCCTGACATGTGTTTGATCAGTTTCATACAGAAATTTACAGTACAATATGTGTAACTCTCCATTGCTGTATCTTTATTCTCTCGAAAACCTGATACTTTGCATTGAAAATGGCAGCTGTCATCAGCTTTATTATCATTTAATACAAGTTTTTATTTACAGAGAAAGCTGCTGCCAAACGGATATAGCAATAATTACAAAAACCGTAGCACATTCATATGGCACAGTACATATTTCTAGATGAAACTGTTAGAGAGAAGGAACAATATTTTCAGAAATGCAGAAGATGAAGTTAAAATCGAGAAAATTTCTGACCCTTTTTAATTCTGAGGAATTAAAAAAAGCAGATTTGGACTAAAGAGCAATCCAAACATTCTAAAGGAACAAAATAAGACCTATCTTTCCAATAAGACTTAATTCATTACTAACTTTGCTGCCTTTAAATATAGTCCTTATATATCCTAACAGTCCGAAAGCTGTATCTCTCAGATTTTGTGCACTATTTACTTTCCTCACGTAATAATGCCACTTTATTCACAGCGTGTTATCAAAGTTCTTCCAGCACATCCTTGCCCTGGTTTTTGCGATTGATGAGATCAATGAGAATCCCAAGGTCTTGCCCAATGTCACTCTTGGGTTCCACATCTATGACAACTACCATAACTCTAAGATGACCTATCACACCACTCTGGATCTGCTGTTTAAATCACATACCTTTGTCCCCAACTACAAATGTGGCTACCAGGAAAATGTAATAGGAGTCATTGGGGGACTGAGCTCTGATGTCACCTTGTGCATGGCAGACATCTTGGGTCTTTACAAAATTCCACAGGTAGGAACATTATGGGAAGAGAAAATTGAGATTTCACACTATAATTCACTCTTCAGCTCTCTTTCCAATAGGAATCTATGGATTCATAAATTTAGAGTGGTATAACAGGGACTAGTGAAAGGTACTGAAATGTATGGGTTTGTTGATGTTATAGCATGGGGGTCTCCAACAATGTGCATAGGAGGGACAAGATTACAAAGGAAGTGTGCTTAATGCGTGTAAGGGAAGATTGATTCAAAAGTGCCAGGTTGATAAATTGGATATCCAGATGGGATCATATAATATCCTTGGAACATATTATCAGTGGATCATGTAAGATCAGGACATGTTAACTAGAATTGCTCTCCATAAGAAATGGGAAATTGAGCAAGATTGCTTGTGTATTTTTTATGTAAGTGGAGGTGGATATTTTCCCAAAAAAATCATTAAATTTGGGTGTGTGGGATAAAGAGGTTTGCTTTTAATTCTTCCATCCTTTTCTAATGGTTCTCTTTTTCCTTTTTCAGATTTCATATGGTTCATTTGAAGCAGCCACAAATCATCAAATTAAGTTCCCTTCTTTTTACCACATGGCTCCTAATGAAGCTCTTCAGTATCAAGGAATTATCCAGTTGCTTTTGCATTTTGGATGGAAATGGGTTGGGCTCATCACTCCGGCAAATGAAGCTGGAGAGCATTTCTTGAATACCATTGAACCAATGTTTTTCAAAAATGGGATCTGTTCAGCATTCACAGAAAGAATTGAATACCATGTGCGTTACACTGGTAACATATTTGAGATGGTCCGTGATACAAGGATTTTGTTCCCAGCTTTCGTAACAAGCAAAGCAAATGCAGTTGTTGTATATGGAGACAGTGCATCTATTACATGGTTGTCAACTACTCTAACGTTAATGAAGTTATCTGAGTTCATATTTTCTCAGTTCAAAAAGAACTTACCTGAAGAAAAAGTATGGATAACCACAGCTCAGATTGATTTCATTTTATATGAACTTCAGAAAGTTATTGATGTTAATATTCAAATGTTCCATGGTGCTATCTCTTTTGCAATTCATTCCAAGGAAGTTCGTGACTTCCGAGATTTTCTGCAACATGTAAATCCTTCCTGGGAAGAGGGAGATGATTTTATCTCAGGTTTCTGGGAACAAACATTTGATTGTTCACTTATAGACTCCACTAAGTCAACAAAGAAAGCTAAGCCTTGTACTGGAGAGGAAATGCTGGAGAGCCTTCCTGCGTCATATTTTGAAATGAGCATGACCAGCCACAGCTACAGTATCTATAACGCTGTCTCTGCTTTGGCACATGCCTTACATAGGCACTTGGCTGGATCCAACAACAGAAGAATGGAGGCTGCAGGCAGACAATCTCCTCAGAATATAGAGCCTTGGAAGGTAGTGTTTGCTGTTACAAAGAGTTTGGTTTACAAAGTGTTCACTATTGTGCCCTGCCTTGATATTTTATGTGAGTTGGTATTTAGTTACAAAAAAAAGAATGAAAAATATTCAGTTACAGAAATAAACTTTAATAGATACAATATCAAAGATGGGAATTAGCATATTTCTTAAAATGATACTAAACCAACTCTGGATGAGAGACTTTTATAAGCACCTGACTAGCAGCTACCTGAAGACTGAATAGCTGCTAAATAACAGCAGCTGAGAAGGAATTGGAAGTAGTGTTTTCCAATATTTCAAATGGCACTTTAAGACACTTTTTGTAGCTTTGGGGTGCGTAGTCACCATGGGGTGGGTCATAACAGATATCCCAAGCAAGTTTGCTTAGGTGAGGCATAATTGTTTAAATTTATTTGCTGGGAATATGTGTCTGTCATTTGATTTAGCAGGAAGTGACAGAAATACCTGCTTACAAAGAATTTCCTTCAACATATCCTACCTGATTTCTTTTATGGAGGCTTTTGAATGGCCTCCTCAAATCTAAAAGAAGATTCCTACTGAGTTGCAACCAATGCTCCTTAAGCAGAACATAAATCATTGGGAGGTTTTGTAATACTGTTAAGTTTTTAAAAATCTTCCGTTCTCATGTCCGCTCCAGATATGATCCTTAGAACATCTTCCTCTTAGACATGAGAAATTTGCATGGAGAAGCAACTGCAAAGATTTTCTTATGTGCTGATTGGTTCCAGTTATTCAAGAACATAACATCACACAGTAGTGATTAAAAAGTGAAATGGAAAAGGGGCATAAAAGAAGTCTTTAAACATGACAGTATGTAACTTTTCCTCCATATGTGATGTGTGTGGTATAAATTCCTTCATTTGCAGAAAACAAGAATGGTTCTGCCAATTCTACACTATCATAAACTATACTTTGAATTAAAACTTTATAACCCCTAATTATAAAGATATTGAATGCATCTAGGAAAGCTATTCAGCAATCTTAATCAGAATGTTATAATAATTTATAGACCTTTTGATTCTCTTTCCACCTAGCTCCACTCATTCCTACAGAAGATCTCATTCAACAACTCTGTTGGTGATGAAATTACATTAAATGAACGTGGAGAATTAGCAGCTGGTTTTGATATTACAAATTTGATCACTTTCCCAAATAGATCCTACATCAGAGTTAAAGTGGGAAGGCTGGATCCTCAGGCCCCTGCAGGCAAAGAGCTCACCATTAATGATGGACAGATTGAATGGCACAGGGGCTTGACTCAGGTGAGGAAATAAATTTATCTAATGTCAGCATTCATGGTTATCCCATAAAATATGATGCAAGAAGGCTTTTTTTCACTTAGCACCTGATTAAATGTGAAGTTTACTGGGACAGAAAAGTGGGCTTTAGAAGAAGACATTCATGTCTAGATGGATAGCATTTTAATGGAGATAATCTCTGTTTGAACAATTAGCTTTCCTTGTAGGAACATGCTTGCACATTACTTTAAGACATCCTATTTGTTGTCCTGCTTATGTTGACTGCATTCTGTTTGGTGTGTTATATTATATTCTGTATGGTATGAATATTCCTTTTTATTTATTGCATATTTGTAAGCCACCAAAGAGTAAGCAATGTACTTTAAGGAATACTGTAAGTCTATCACTAAATAAACAAATGAACCACAATACAAAATGAGCAGCATGCACAGAAGACATCTCCTATTAAGGATGACCAGTGGCTACCAGAGAGAGTTGTCAGCCATTCTTGTTTGTGAAGTCCTAGAGGCAGATCTCCAGTTAGTGGAATCTGATGATGATGATGATGATGATGATGATAGATTTATTTATATCCCACCCATCCTGCTAGGTTTCCCCAGCCACTCTGGGTGGCTTCCAACAAAATATTAAAATACAATAGTCCATCAAACATTAAAAGCTTCCGTAAACATATAATAGTAAGCTTGTTACGCATAGAATACTAAGCTTGTTACAGCATCGCTTGGGCTTAGAATGAACATTATAATCTTCTGGAGTTTGAATGATGCTATGTGCAGCAGGTATACATCTAGGCATAGCTGTAGCTAGTGTATAACCCTAAGATAGGCATAAGCAGCCCCCAGCCACAGAAGCCACTTGAGACCCTAGTAATGAGCTGGAATCTCAAAGTACTTCCAGAATACAAACATCTTATTTCACAGTGACTCCAATCCCTCCCAGAAGGGATCCTACACATAAATCTGACACAGAGAAACCACTCACCCAAAGCACTTTTGACTTATAAGGATTCAGCCACCATCTTGTCCAACAAAACCTTCAAATAGCAGTGCACCACCTTCACTGCTTCTCCTCGGTGACACTGTTCTCCAGATTCCTAGGAAATAGACCCTCTTCCATATAAATGTTGAATCACAAAGATGACTGAACCTGAAACCTCGTGGGCCAACACAGCCCAAAAGCCATGGAACTAAGCAATACCCTCCTAGTATTACTTTCTAGTAACAACCCTGCAGGTAGGAGCAGAACACTTATACTATAGTACCTCCAATTCCCAAATCCTTGATTGGCGTCATAAGGACACCAAGTGACATTCCTGAAGGAAACAGCTGTGGTTCCTACAACTGGCATAGCCAGTTTATTGAATTCTAATAAAGTTGTATGTTTAGCTATGCCAACTATGTTTACCCGAATCTTATTGGGCTCGTATGATGCTTAACAACTGCTTTTTATCCTATTCCATGCGCCACCTGTGCACATACGGATCATGTTTCATGTTATAGGTCCTCCTTTTGCTGATAGACCCCCTGATGTTAGATTAAGTCCCCCCCCCAGACATTTTCTTAAAAAATAAATTATTTTTATATTTTTGGATAGGTGCCACCCCTGTCAGTATGTAATGACAACTGCCATGCTGGTTACGGGAAGAAAAAAGGAGACAAGTAAATTTTGTTGCTATGATTGTGAACCATGTCCCAGCGGGATGTACTCAAGTGAAAAGGGTGAGAAATTTCATCTTAAGATAGACCAAACAGCACAATTTATTTAGCAAATTCTTAGATCCTTAAAATTTTGTTAGTGTTAAAATTCTGGAGGTGAAAGGGCTACAATTTTGATGTCTGTATTGTTCTCATTGTTTGAAATGTAATCTTTAATACATCCTGAAGACATCATTTTTAGAAAGGAATGTAATGCATTTTACATACAAATTCTACTAGATTATGATGGAATAGAAGTGGTGGTCACTTCTCTAAGAAGAAGGCAGTTTGGAGATAGAGTGAATGTCTCATTCAGTGGACCTCTCTTGGCTCACAAGATTTCAGCTGTAATGTTGCTCTCTTTTCACTACAGAGCACCTTGTAATTCTAAAAAGAAGGAGGAGGGCCACTAACACATAGAGATGTCCTCTATGTAGAAATTCCAGATTTGATGCATTAGATTTATTTCTGATATATCTCAGGCAAATGTCTTTGGACTAGAAGTTTTGAAAGCTGTCCTGGTAAATAACATTAGCTAGGTGAACTCCTGATGACAAAAATTCTTAAGAATTTTCTTCATAGTTTCAAATTCTCCTAAACATTTGTCTTTTCAGACATGGAAACATGTATCAGTTGCCCAGCAAATAAGTATCCAAACAAAGACCAGGATAATTGCATTCCTAAAATACCAAACTTTCTTGGCTTTGATGAAACTTTGGCCATCATTTCAACTTTCTCGGCACTACTGTTGTCTCTGATCACAGCTCTAGTGTTTGGCATCTTCATTAAACACCGGGACACTGCCATCGTCAAAGCCAACAACAGAAGCCTCACTTACATTCTCCTGGTGTCCCTCCTTTTGTGTTTCCTCTGCTCCTTGATGTTCATTGGAACACCTAAGGAGGCAACCTGCCCACTCCGACAAACAGGTTTTGGCATCGTCTTCTCTGTGGCCCTCTCTAGCATCTTGGCCAAAACTATATCAGTGGTTTTGGCATTCATGGCTACCAAGCCAGGATCCACAATCAGGAAGTGGATAGGCAAAAAACTGGCTTATTCCATTGTCCTCTCCTGCTCTAAAATTCAAGTAGGGCTTTGTAGTCTTTGGCTGACAACTTTCCCCCCTTTCCCAGATTTGGACATGCACTCAATGAGTGAAGAAATTATATTCTTATGTAATGAAGGGTCAGTCCTCATGTTCTATTGTGTTTTGGGCTACATGGGCTTCCTTGCCATTGTCAGCTTCACTGTGGCCTTCTTAGCCAGGAAGTTGCCAGACAGCTTCAATGAAGCCAAGTTCATCACCTTCAGCATGCTGGTCTTCTGCAGTGTTTGGATCTCCTTCATTCCAACCTACCTGAGCACCAGGGGAAAATACATGGTGGCTGTGGAGATTTTCTCCATCTTGACTTCTAGTGCTGGGTTACTGGCTTGCATCTTTTTCCCCAAATGCTACATTATTCTTGTGAGGCCTGAGCTGAACACCAGAGAACATCTAATACAAAGAAAGATGAATAATAAATAATATTAGAATCTGTGATTTTCAAGTTGGTATTCTACAGTGAAATGTCAAAAATGTGAATGAATGAGGACAAAGTGACCAAACGAAACTATTTCAACAATTTTGTACTTTGTTTCTAAACTGCAAAATGGTTGCATGTTCTTTTAAGAGCCCTTTCTGATCAACTGAGGCAAATGTTCAGCTAATGTGGATACAAAGTTCAGCTTAAGAAACTGAAACTCCAAAAGAGAAAGAGAAACATCAACATTACTCTATAGCTATTCTGATTAGACAGCTAATATGAATGAGGTGTAGAGATAATATATGTATTACAGTATATTTTTTGACTAAGTGATATATGAATTTAAAAAGCTAAATTTAAAAAGTTACATTATTTTAGAAAGGCCTGAATTCAATAATAGAGAGCAGCTGATAGAGAGAAATATGTAATCAACAGACATGTTTGTAGTTTCACTTATGTTGTTGGTATCCCTGGAGAGGATGGGGATGCCGTTTTGTGGCTTACCTCAGACACCAAGATGTCTTGGGCCAGCTCTGCTCCCAAGAAGATAGTGATCAATGCAGAGTTTACCTATCCAACCACTGACTAGAGCAACTTCTGCAGCTGTGTGGGCATAAGGATGTGACACTTTTGTGTCAGCGTCGTTTGTGTAGGTTCTTTTTGCTATTCGCTTGTGTTCCTTTGGTGGTGAGAGAGGTTGGGGTTGACCTAGGCTGTGGCTGCTTGTTTGTGATTGGCTGTGGTGAGCTTTGTTTTCATGAGTGAGTGGGGTGGGTGGGTGTTTTAACACAAAACCCCACACATACATTAAGCAAAAGAGAAACATCGCCACCAGACCCCAACCCCACCCATCATGGTCCCCCTCCACCACCCCCCTTTTTTTCCTTCCTAATGTAACACTAAAGTCTCAACAAATGAAACTGACCTGTAGAAAATGTAACTTGAAGAAAGAGACTTTGCACATACTTTTGTTAACTAATAAATATTTAATAATAATAAAAAGAAAAAGAAAAGAAAGAAAAAGGATATGCTGGACCCAGGACCCAGAAATAGGAATAGTGACCAACAGGGCTAAAATCTGAACTTCTCTATAGGGTTTTGGGTACCAGAAGTGGGCATGTATGTGATGCAACGAGGATGGGTGTTGATGCATAGGTAGGCTTGCCCCATGGCATGCTATAGTTTTACTCATCCCAAATTTACGTGTCTATATTTGACTGAGTTAGCCTCTCTCTGGAGACACGGCTCTCAAGTTGTAAAATCTGCATTCAGGGATGTTTCCATTGCTCATGTATTTCATTATCATCATCATTGCGACTCAGCATTTTCAGTCATTTAATTATTAAGGCCCCTGTCACACAGCAATTGCTAGGGAGGGTCAGAAAGACATGAGCAGAGGGGGTGATTACCCAGAGTACACTGCAGGTTAGGTGAGCTTCTTATCCAGTTACAAACACAAAATGTAGGTTAACCATGAACCCTCATAATAGAGGTGTTAATGAATAGGAGCCGTGTGAAGGAATGAAACTATGGTTGTTACATTGGTTAAAGGATGTAGCCCAGCAGTAGAAAACTAGACACATAGAGAAAAGTGTTGTTCTTTTTTCATGATACTCTGTTGCATTGTTTTGTGTTTCATTGTTCTAACCTAAGATGTCATTTTTTCCCATTAAAAAATATTGAAAATCTAGTGTAAGCTGGGGGTCTGTTCATATTATTATGAGTTTGGAGTGCTAAACTGGGGTCCCTCTAATCCCTGGATCCAGCAAGTGTTAAAAGTTAATCAAGCCAGGCTAGCTTCCTGAACCCCAGGGTCCAGCAAATATAAGCCAGGCTCCTTTACTGATGAGGTGATCACCTGGGTGATGAGTCATTAAGAAGGATTAAGCGGCTCAGTGTGAGAAGGGAAATGGGTGGGGCTCCATCCCTCAACAGATAAAGCCAGAGTTTAGAGTAGAGAGTTTGAAGGGCAGTGATGTAAAATGGAGGAAAAACGTGAAAAGCTGGAGACGGGGGGAGGGGGCAATGTTTCATATGTATCTAATCCAAGGCTATGGGCTAAACAAGACCCTTTTGGGATGTTGATGCTGTGAAGCCTTCAATACAATATCAGGTTGTATATATGTGCTAATGAACCATATACAGTGGTACCTCGGGGATGTTAGTTTCTCTTTCTCACTGAGCAGCTGCGTGGAGTCACAGGACTCTGTTTACATTCCTGGGATTCCATACTATTGGAGTCTCACAGGAAAGGAGACAGGACGTTAGTGGTTTCCCGTTTCCTTTCTTCCTTTGTTCCTTTGTTTCAGTTGCTCTCTGCTTTCATAGAGAGAGGATGTCTTTTCTGTTCTGCGTAGTTTAGAAATAAAACTCTTTACAATGTAGCTCATACTATCTCATTCTTCCCCGTGCTGGGAACCCTGCTGGATAGAATGGGCTTGGAGCCTTATCAAAGGCTCAGGTCATTAAACACGTCGGAGGCGATTTCAAAGGCTCGGCTCGGAGGAAAATGAGGCCTTATCAGCTCGGTCAAGCGGAGTTCCGACAGAGTTAAGTACTTAATTCGTTCTGGAGGTCTGTTCTTAACCTGAAACTGTTCTTAACCTGAGGTACCACTTTAGCTAATGGGGCCTTCTGCTGCCGCCGCACCACCGCTGCACGATTTCTGTTCTCATCCTGAAGCAAAGTTCTTAACCCGAGGTACTATTTCTGGGTTAGCGGAATCTGTAACCTGAAACGTCTGTAACCTGAAGCGTATGTAACCCGAGGTACCACTGTATCATAAAGACACCACAAAGAACCCACGGAGGGGAGGGGGGAGGTCTTGAGATCCGGAAGAATCTTGTGTAATTTTTAATATCTGTGATTTTGAATGTGAATGAATTTGTAAAATAAAGTAAAAATTATTTCCAAAAAAAAAAGTTTCATTTCTATCTAATCCAAGGCTGTGGCTATGCGCAAAACAAGTCCCTTTGGGGGTGATGATGCTCCATTGCAGGGTCAGGTTGTATAAAAAGTAAAAGTAAAGGGACCCCTGGCCATTAGGTCCAGTCATGATCAACTCTGGGGTTGCGGCGCTCATCTCACTTTATTGGCCGAGGGAGCCGGCGTTTGTCCGCACACAGCTTCCAGGTCATGTGGCCAGCATGACTAAGCCGCTTCTGGCGAATCAGAGCAGTGCACGGAAACGCCGTTTAACTTCCTGCTGGAGCGGTACCTATTTATCTACTTGCACTTTGTGCTTTCGAACTGCTAGGTTGGCAGGAGCAGGGACCGAGCAACGGGAGCTCACCCAGTCGCAGGGATTCGAACTGCCGACCTTCTGATCGGCAAGTCCTAGACTCTGTGGTTTAACCCACAGCGCCACCTGCATCCCTTATGTCAGGTTGTATATATGTGCTAATAAACCATATATCATAAAGACACCACAATCTCAACCATGCTTCATTCCCAAAAGGAAACACGAACCCTGGGCAAGTGCCTGGAACCCCCTGGAATCTCACACCACTCACAACAATATTCTGATGGTCATGTATTACAGGTTTTGTAGCTGTGGAGGCCCTCTATCAGCAGAGGGTTGGACTAGATATCCTTGGCAGTCCCCTCCATAATCTCTGCTCTAACAAATAAGTTTCCTTTGGCAGAGCGCCAAATGATGACACATTACATCATTCCAAAGCATTTCAGTAGTGATTCTTTCCCCTGTAATTATTAAGATTACAGTAATCAATTCACCCAGCCAAAGCTCCAGAAGGTGGTAGGGAGACAGGGGAAAATCAACAAGCAAGGCTAAAATGATTATAAACACTTCAGTAATCCATGGCCAGATCAGATAAAGAACAAAAGAGTGATCAGGCTCTGTTAAGCTGTTCAGGTTCCTTCGTTCATTGTAGTGGGGGTAGTGGTATTTATTATTATTATGTTATGCATTTTGTGTGTTTATGTTGTAAACTGCCCTGTGTTCTTTAGAAGAGAGGAACTATAGAAATTTAATCAATAACAATCCTAACATAGCTAAAGCTTCAGATCAGTGTTACTTATTTGATGTCCAAGGCATGCTTTTCTGACAATGTTGAAATCAAGGATAAAGTGGATATCTGCCCACTTGAGAAATCCCTTGGCAGATTCTGCTGCCACCAAGCCATCTTATTCAAATCAGGCTGAAAATAGCAACCATGTTGGAAAGAGACAGAGAGGGAGGAAAGCCCATGCATAGAATAAAGTTTGAAATCAGGATGTTGGTGGTGCTGCTGCTGCTGCTGCTGTTCCTGCTCCCCAACCTGGGGTGCAAAGAGCATAGTTTGAAGTGCACCCAAAGCAATCCTGCACATATTCATCATGAGTGGTATGAGTCAGGCGATCTCCTCATTGGTGAGATGTCATCTCATATCCATTATGTGTTTCCCAAGGTTTTATTCAATGAACACCCTTCTCGGGTCATGATCGACAACCCCTTGTAAGTAAATGGTCCATTTAAATTTCATTTATCTTTATATTTTTCTATCTGACTGTAAGGTGCTTCAGTTGCTTTGAGAAAAGTAGTTAGAGGATAGGACTTTTTGCAGCTTTCCTTGGTTCTGTATTGTGCAGGGAAGTGGGTTCCTGGACAAACCAGAGAATTCCCCTCTGCTTACCCACCCTCCCCTTTAGACCACCGGAGTTAGAACCATAGAATTGCAGCTTTGGGAGGGTCCCAGAGTGCAAATCTAGTCTACCCCCCATAAAAGCAGGAATCATAGCTGTGATTCCTGCTTTTATGGGGGGTAGACTCTATTGAGGGAAAACCTAATCAAGATGTTTTATAGATGGTGCTTAACACCTACCAAAATAGCTAAAATGTATAAGACAAAATGGGACGCGGGTGGCGCTGTGGGTTAAACCACAGAGCCTAGGACTTGCCAATCAGAAGGTTGGCGGTTCGAATCCCCGTGATGGGGTGAGCTCCTGTTGCTCGGTCCCTGCTCCTGCCAACCTACCAGTTCGAAAGCACATCAAAATGCAAGTAGATAAATAGATACCACTCCAGCGGGAAGCTAAATGGCGTTTCCGTGCGCTGCTCTGGTTCGCCAGAAGCGGCTTAGTCATGCTGGCCACATGACCCAGAAACTGTACGCCGGCTCCCTCGGCCAATAAAGTGAGATGAGCGCAGCAACCCCAGAGTCGTTCATGACTGGACCTAATGGTCAGGGGTCCCTTTACCTTTTTATAAGACAAAAACAAATCTGTACTGGAGGTGTGATAAAACAGAGGGGACACTTATACATGTTTGGTGGACCTGTGAAAAAAATCAAAAGCTTCTGGAACACAGAATATGATGAGCTTAAAAAAATGTTTAAGTATAACTTTATGAAAAATGCAGAAGCTTTTCTACTAGGGATAACGGACACAGGGATAGCAAGAGAAGATCAGAAAATATTCCTCTATGCCACAGGAGCGGCAAGGATCCTAATTGCTAAAAACTGGGGAAAAAGAAACTGTGCCGACAAAACAGGAATGGCAAGACAAACTGTTAGAGTGTATTGAACTGGCCAGATTAACAGAGGCAATTAGAGATCACACTAGACAAGAGTTTCAAAAAGCATGGGGGAAATGCAGAGAATACTTCACAAAACAGTGCCCTAAAATACATACCTGGACTTGTTTCGATTAATGTCTGCAGGAGACTTAGTGGATATTTAAGTTATAATTAATAATTATTTAGAAAGGAAACAGTTTATAAGAAGCAAATAAGGAGACCAGATACAGGATAAAGGAAGTCTTTTATTTGCTTGTTTGTATTGCTGTATGTTATGCTCATTGTATGTTATGTTCACGTTTAATGAGGGTGGATTTGTGTATTGGGGGGGGGGGGTTATGTTGTAAATAAAATTCGAATAAAACCAAAAAAATACAAGGAATCACATCTATTTTACTACAAGTCTTCCTTTTAGCAATCAGCCTGAAATATGCTTTGCATCACCTCAATTACAACGCAGATGGATGTGTGACTCAGTTGTGGGCGGTGTATAAATGGAGACAACAATGTTTTTTATGAAACTTGGTCTTATCTTCCCATCAAATAGCAAGTCATTTTATTTGCAGAATGCTGACAAAATTCTACCAGCACATCTTGGCCTTGGTCTTTGCTGTTGATGAGATCAATGAGAATCCCAGGATCCTGCCCAATGTCACTCTTGGGTTCCACATCTATGACAGCTATACTGATTCAAGGATGACCTACAGGGCCACTCTGGACCTGCTCTTTAATACAAATTACTTTGTCCCCAACTACCAATGTGGCATCCAGAAAAATGTAATAGGAGTCATCGGGGGACTGAGTTCTGATACCACTTCATGCATGGCAGACATATTGGGTCTGTACAAGATTCCACAGGTAGGACCTGAGCATCAGAGACAGAGAGACTTGGCACTCTAATCCATTCTTCTTTCTTTCCAGCAGGAATTTGTTGATTCATAAATATGGAATGATGCACTGGGCAAAAGCAAAAGGAGCTGAAATATATGGGAAATGTCTGGGGAATATAATATGGGTACCCAACAATGTGTATGAAAAGGGTGAGGATCTCAAGAATATGTGTTGAAAGATTATTCTGATGGTGACAGATTGCTAAATGGGACTTCTAGGTGGGATCATACCTACGGGACCGCCTCTCCTGGTATGCCCCGCAGAGGACCTTAAGGTCCATAAATAACAACACTTTGGAAGTCCCGTGCCCCAAGGAGGTTAGATTGTCCTCAACCAGGGCCAGGGCCTTTTCAGCTCTGGCCCCAGCCTGGTGGAACACCCTACTGCAGGAGATCAGGGCCCTGCAGGATTTGACATCTTTCCGCAGGGCCTGCAAGACCCTGTTCCGCCTGGCCTTTGGGCTGGACTCAGTCTAACGCCCCCCCCCCAATTTATTTATTTATTTTTAAAATGGAACCCCTTATATGGGATTTGTATATAAATTTCCCCTCAGCTCTTTTTGCTGACCCATGTAGAACCAGCATGGATAGTTGGCCCCAGTGAATATTTGACGTTTTCTCCCCTTATGACTTTGATCTATAGGCTACCACTAAAAAAAAACTGTATTTTAAGCTGCATTTTAAACTGTATTCTATCTTATACTTTAATCAACTGTTGTTGTTGGGGTTTGGTTTTTTGGGGGGGTTTTAAAAAAATATTTTTACTGTATTTATATTCAGTATTAGCCACCCTGAGCCCGGTCTTGGCAGGGAGGGTAGGGTATAAATAAATTATTATTATTATTATTATTATTATTATTATTATTATTATCATCATCATCATCATCATCATCTCTGAAAGCATGGCACTGGATACTGGACTGGTGGGCTCAACTCATGATGTTGATGCTAACTTACAAAGCCCCAAGCAGTTCAGGACCCATTAACTAAGGAGTACCTTCCTCAATACCCACTGATCCATGGCTTGAGATCAGATGGGAAGTCATGCTTAATGTCCTACCAACAGTCATAGCCAATAGGTGATAACAAGGACCAGGGCTTTTCCAGTGTTGGTGTCCCAATTGTGAAAATCCCTCCCTGGGAAACTAGGAAGTTTCCCCACATTCTTCACGTTCAGGAGTCAATCAAAAATTTGTTTGTTGTAGTTCTGGCACTGGGGAGACAGATCTGGCACTGAAGGCAGCCCTGTTTAGGGAAGTTTTTAATGACTGATGTTTTAATGTATTTTTAAACTTTTGTTGGAAGCTGCTCAGAGTGCGGCTGGGGAAACCCAGCCAGATGGGTGGGGTATAAATTAATAATAATAATCCAGCAGTAATGCTATTGTATTGTTGTGCTGCGTTGCTTGAATGAGTTTTGACCATGGGTAGACAACCTAAGGCCCAGGGGCCGGATGCGGCCCAATCGCCTTCTCAATCCAGCCTGTGGATGATCCAGGAATCAGTGTGTTTTTACATGATTAGAATGTGTCCTTTTATTTAAAATGCATCTCTGGGTTATTTGTGGGGCATAGGAATTTGTTCATTATTTTTTTTCAAATATAGTCCAGCCCACCACATGGTCTGAGGGACGGTGGACCAGCCCCCTGCTGAAAAAGGTTGCTGACCTCTGGTTTTGATTGTTTTAGATGTATTAATATTTGCTGTAAATGCTATGGCGTTTTTATATTTTACTAACATTTCATTGTGCGTTATCCTGGGCTCCTTATGGTGAAACAGTAATATAAACAAAAATAATAAATTAAAAACTACATGAATGTAAAAGGAATCAATATAAACAGGAACAGTTGAACAAGACTAGATGTGTTTGTGTATTTGTGTGCAAGCAGAGGGGGCATTGCTCTCAAAAAAAATTTGTGGAGTATATACAATTGCGCCTTGAAAAAATATTCAGTTAAATGGCAATGTGATCCACACTCTTGTTCCCATTCTTACATGTTTGCCTTTTTTTCAGATTTCATATGGTTCATTTGAATCACAAGCAAATAATCTAATTAAGTTCCCATCTTTTTACCGCATGGTCCCCAATGAAGCCCTTCAGTACCAGGGAATTATTCAACTACTTCTGCATTTCAAATGGAAATGGGTTGGGCTCGTCACTATGAATAATGAAGGTGGAGAACATTTCTTGCAGATCATAGAGCCATTGCTTTTCGAGAATGGGATCTGTTCAGCATTCACAGAGAGAGTTGTAAACAATCTGCGTTTCACTGGTGACGTATTTGATTTGATGAAAGATACAAAAATTTTATCATCAGCTTTTTTGACAAGCAAAGCCAAGGCAGTTGTTATATACGGAAAAACTGGGACGATTTTATGGTTGGCAAGTACTATAAAGGCATTGAAGATTTTTCAGTTGCTATTTCCTCAACATAAGAAGTCCCCTGAAGTAAAAGTATGGATTACAACAGCCCAAATTGATTTTGCATTACACAGCATTCAGAAAACTCTTGGGACTGATATACAAATATTCCACGGTGCTATCTCTTTCACAATTCACTCAAAGGAGCTTGCAGACTTCCAAAAATTTATTCAAAATGTATATCCTGGTTGGGAAGGTGGAGATGGTTTTATAAATAGTTTCTGGCAAGAGGCATTCACTTGTTCAGTTTCAAACTCCACGGAGACAATGAACGCTCATAAAGTGTGTACTGGAGAGGAGTTGCTGGAGAGCATCCCTTCTCCATATTTTGAGATGAGCATGACTGGCCACAGCTACAGTATCTATAATGCTGTCTATGCTTTGGCACATGCTTTGCATGCTATGCAGTCAGCTGGATCCAACCACAGAAGAAGGGTGCTTGCGGATATGCTGTCTCCTCAAAATGTGAAACCTTGGCAGGTAGTGTTCTTTTCCTCTAGAAAACCTGGCCACGTTCTGGAATTTAGCAGGACAATGGTTAATTTTGTAAAGCATTCTGTTATGCCAACTGGCCTATTCAGTTGTTTGCTTTTCTTTTTCTTATAATTTTCTTTTCTTACCATTTCATTCGTGTGTGTGTGTGTGTGTGTGTGTGTGTGTGTGTGTGTAAAGGTAAAGGGACCCTGATCATTAGGTCCAGTCGTGACCAACTCTGGGGTTGCAGCGCTCGTCTCGCTTTATTGGCCGAGATACTGCTTCCGTGTCATGTGGCCAGCATGACTAAGCCACTTCTGGCAAACCAGAGTAGTGCATGAAAACACCGTTTACCTTCCCGCCGGAGCGGTACCCATATATCTACTTGCACTTTGACGTGCTTTCAAACTGCTAGGTTGGCAGGAGCAGGGACCGAGCAACGGGAGCTCACCCCATCATGGGGATTCGAACTGCCAACCTTCTGATTGGCAAGTCCTTGGCTCCGTGGTTTAACCCACAGTGCCACCCGCATCATATATATATATATATATATATATATATATATATATATACACACTCTTTATATGAAAAGTAAAAAAGCAATTGAAGAAGATAAAATATAGACATTAAAGCAGGCGGGGGGGAACACATTCAGTTTTAGATGAACCAGTCATTTTGTGTCTTTTTGTATAGTATTGATGGTATCTTATGCTGTGCACTGCTTTGATATTTTATGTGAGGTGGAAGTAAATAAATACTTTTAGATGCGAGTACTTAACAAAATAAACTTTGATAAATTAGCACAATCAGTCCCTTCTTCAGTGAGAGAGGCAGCACTTAAAATAGTAAAAAAAAAAAAAAAGTGGTTTCTCATGCCTGTACAGTTAGCTCATGTTAGCACCTCCTACTTGCCAAACTGTTGGAAATAGTGCAGAATGTTTGGTTCTAGTGGACGCGTGTTCCCTCCTAAAGGAAAAGCGCTTAAATACATCCAGGAAAGCTATGGAGCAATCTTAATAAGAATATCACAGCACTTCAGATACATTTTTAATATCTCTCCACCTAGCTCCATTCATTCCTGCAGAGGATCTCATTCAACAACAACGCTGGAGATGAAATTACATTTAATGAGCATGGAGAATTAGTAGCTGAATTTGATATTACCAACTTGGTCACTTTCCCAAATCAATCCTACATCAGGGTCAAAGTGGGAAGGCTGGATCCTCAGGCACCTCCTGGGAAACAAGTCACCATTGATGAGGACAGAATCAAATGGCAAAGAGGCTTGACTCAGGTGAGGAAATAACTGCACAGTCTCTGTGCAGGTCCTGATGTTCTATTGCGTCTTGGGCTACATGGCCTTCCTTGCCACGGTCAGCTTCATTGTAGCCTTCCTAGCCAGGAAGTTGCCTGACAGTTTCAATGAAGCCAAGTTCATCACCTTCAGCATGGTGGTCTTCTGCAGTGTTTGGGTATCCTTTGTCCCAACTTACCTGAGCACAAGAGGAAAATATATGGTGGCTGTCGAAGTCTTTTCCATCTTGGCTTCCAGTGCTGGCCTGCTGGGCTGCATCTTTTTCCCCAAATGCTACATTATTGTGTTGCAGCCTGAGCTGAACAGCAGAGAACATCTAATACGGAGAAAGACATAAATGATAGAAGAGTCTGTGGTTTTATTACATTCTTGGTATCTGCCTAGAACTATAAAAGAGGTGTAAATATACTGGAACTGTGCAATAGAATTATACTATTTCAGGATTTTGTTCTCTTGTTTTGTGATTATGAAATAGTTGCTGTTTTAGTGGCAAAGGGGATCAAAAGTTCAACTCTGAATGCTGAAAGGTGTTCTGATATATTCTATTCTTTATTGCTATACATTGACTTATGTAGTAAACCTATCCAGACTAAGTATATCTCCATACATTTCTGGTGTTATTTTCATTTTCTCTTAGGGCTAACTGTTGAATCTGATTTAAATTTGGAGTGCAGGTCCTAAAAATTATCTTCATAACAAATATTTCTGTTACTGCGTTTACCAAAAAAAACAAAAAACACTTTCTAAGCTTGTGTCCATTGGCCAATGCATCAGTTTCCAAGCAAGGCACAAAATCAACGAATGTTAAGATCCACTTATCAATACTGAAACAACTGCAAGAAGACCAACACAGAGATTTGGTTTTTTTTAATAATAAAAAAAGAGTAGAGTCACACATCCATTTTCTGGATTTGAGACTTCCTAGTTACTTTTGATTCCATTTTTTGGGGGGGGGGGGGCGTGCCTTTTGGAGTAGAAGTGCCAAGTGCCCATAGAAAACAAGAGAAAGACCCATAATTTTAGCATAGCTGAGACTGGACAGCAAAGCATTGAACATGTCTAAGTCAATTCAGAAGCTGGGTGCTATGTGTGGCTCTATTTTTCATAAGTCTATGGAAATCAACAGTGCCAGAACTTGAGCTGATGATGAACCATTCCTATTCTTGCATTGTGCAAAGGTGCAGCCCCTTTCAGTGTGCAATGATAACCACCATCCAGGTTACAGCAAGGCAAAGAAGGAGGGGGAGAAGTCTTGCTGCTATGATTGTGCTCCGTGTACAGAAGTAATGATCTCTAACCAGGATGGTAGGAGGCGCAGACCGCAATTGGGGGTATTGCTCAGAGTAAGCCTATAGGCCAGGGATGAGGAACCTCCTATCAGCCAAGCCCAGCATGGCCATGAGTTTTCCACCCCCTCTGTAGGGTTTTCCCGAGTGGCCCAGGTGTCTCTTGGCAGATGGTAAAATTGAGATAAAATTAAACAAAGGGGTGATCTATATATATATATATATATATATATATATATATATATAATTTTTTATTAATTTACAACAAAACAAAACATACATAAAATTTCACATCCAATTTTCACAAATTGCTTCTTTTCTGGACTTCCTTCAGCTTCTCCATAAATCATCCATAGTCATTATTTTAAATACGCATTTCATAATTTGTATTGACATTATTTATATCCTTAATTTCCTTTCTCTTTAGACAATACTTCTTAGTTTTTCACAGTGCTTTTTTAAACACCTCTAGCGTTATCTGTCCCTCACTTATACTTTCCAGATATTCCACAAATTTCCCCCAGTCTTCGATGAACCTTTGGTCTCTTAGGTATCTGATTTTCCCAGTCAATTTATCCAACTCAGCATAGTCTAACAGTTTCATTCTCCATTCTTCCACTGTCGGTATTTCCTGTTGTTTCCATTTCTGAGCCAGTAGCACTCTTGCTGCAGTCACTGCATATTGCAATATGCAACAAAGGGGTGATCTTAGTAAGTAGGGAATATATTAAATTTTGGGGAAATGAATTAATTTAATAGTATGTTGTCTACAGGTGGTTTGGGGAAATAAATATGGTGATTCATTATTATTATTATTATTGCCATTATTTATTGAATTTATATACCGCCCTATACACAGGGGTCTCAGGGCGGTTCACAGAATAAAATAAAGATATAAAAGCACAAAATACCTAATAAAAATAAAAGCAACAACCCAATAGCCCCCCTTCAAAAAAACCACCACATTTTAAAAGGGAATAGGATGTAAAATGGATCAACCAAAGGCCTGGTTACTAAGGAACGTTTTGCCAGGCACCTAAAGGTGTATAATGAAGGTGCCAGGTGAACTTCCTGGGAGAGCATTCCACAGACAGGGAGCCACTGCAGAGAAGCCCCCGTTCTCCTATTGCCACCCTCCAAACCTCTCACAGTGGAGGCACACAAAGGAGGGCCTCAGAAGGTAATCTCAGGGTCTGGGTAGTTTCATGATTAAAGGGGAAATTAATTTATTTATCTCCTGCCAACCTAGCAGTTCGAAAGCACGTCAAAGTGCAAGTAGTTAAATAGGTACCACTCTGGCGGGAAGGTAAACGGCGTTTCCGGGCGCTGCTCTGGTTTGCCAGAAGCGGCTTAGTCATGCTGGCCACATGACCCGGAAGCTGTACGCCGGCTCCCTCGGCCAATAAAGCGAGATGAGCGCCGCAACCCCAGAGTCGGTCACGACTGGACCTAATGGTCAGGGGTCCCTTTACCTTTACCTAATTTATTTAGAGGCAGGTGTTTGGGAAAATTAAGTGGGTGTGTATGAATCCAAGAGGAACTGATCTGGAGCAGGGGTGCAAGTTAACTGAAGAGCTTTTTTGGAGTGATTTGGGTGGGAAACCTGTTGACTTGCCCCCACAATTTGTCCAGAAAGTACAGAAACCCCTACGAAGGCTTCTTAAACGGGCGAGCAGGGAGGGCAAGAAACGCTGATTTGAATCATTGTTTTCTTTTATTGCCACGAGGTGGCAGTACAGGACCGCTCTTTAAGGAAGCTCCACCGCTGCTCCGAGAGCTGCGAGATGAGATACATGAGATGAGTGGCCATGTGAGAAACGGGGAGTTTGCAATCTGAGGTGGAAGGGAGCCTGGGATTCGCCTGAAACGGCGTTATGGCCTTGCAGACGGGTGCACAAGCCGCTCCCTGAATAAACAAGGCAGACCTGTGCTGTCTGCTTAACAGAGTGTATTTCCCTCCTCTGTTTATACTCTGCACTTAAATCTGAAGAAGTGTGCATGCACACGAAAGCTCATACCAATAACTAAATTCGTGGTCTCTAAGGTGCTACTGGAAGGAATTTTTTATTTATTTTATTTGTTTTGTTTCATCTGCAAATAGAGCGGTCATGACAGCAAGGCGTCTAAAACAGGCGCACCAAAAATGGTGCCCTCCGGATTTTCGTACTACAACTCCCATGAACCTCAGCCAGCATGGCAAGATTCTCAGGGGGGGTGGAATGTGCAGTGCAAAACATCTAGAGCAGATGTGGGGAACCTTTGACCCTCCAGATATTGTTTAATTGCAGCTCACATGGCCGATGGCCAGGACTGATGGGAGTTGTAGTTCCACAACACCTGAAGAGCCAGAGATTCCCCACACCTGATCTAGATAGAGGGCACCATTCAGAAGGCAGAAGTGCTTCTGAAAACCCTTTTCTGGGAACCTCCAGAGAGAGGGGAGAGTGCTGTTGTGCCTGGGTCTTGCTTGTGTGTTTCCTGCAGGGATCTGGGCCACTGATCTAACCCAGCTGTGTCGGTGGTCACAATGTCTGTGCATGCCCTGTTATGACACTACTGTATTATGGAGGTACTTTCAGACAACCTGTTTATTGAGCATTCAGCCTGATTTGATTGGATGGCGGTGGCTATTTAATGAGTGATTAGTTTGCAGGGAGGTTAGAACACGTTAGGTCAAAGGCCGGTGTTCTGCTACACTTTCAAGTGCATTTCCCCCCATTGCTTTTGTCATAAGAATTTTAAGGTCATGTATTAAAAAAAAATGTTCATAACTGTATATATAAACCACATGTCTGAAACCCCACAGATTTGGTCCTGAACAAATTGACCTCAAATATTTCTCTCCAAGGTCAAAGTGGGAAACCTCTCCATTGTCTCTTTCCTCACAAATCCTGTCTTAAGGGCACATTCAAGATGCAAACAGGGTGTGAGCCTGTGACCTGTGACCTAGATTCAGGAATTATAATAACAAAAGAGTGGCCAAAACCCAGATAATGCAATCTGGTAACTTGCCAGACAGGAGATAAACAACACACTAAGGATTCTGTTTTAGACCACCCCTTCTGTGATGTATGTATGATGTTTCTGGGGGTGGTATGAAGTTTGAAGGTGGGCAATTTAAAAAGTCTATATAAGGGCTTGCACAACTGTGCTCAAGGTCTTCTCTACCCTGCCCCCCCCCCCCGTGTGTGGTGGGAGCACCCTGTTGCAATAGCTTTAATAAAGATCAGGCTTACTAGCTGCCTTGCTTCTCAATATTCCCTGGCTGGCCTCTGTTATTTTCTCCTACCGATAGAGAACCTAAAAAGAGGACTCTATATGGGCTCTTGGGTACCCCATAAGGGAAAAAAAGAGCAGCTTTTTTCTTATAACACTTGGGTCTCCAGCTGTTTTTGAACTACAACTCCCATCACCCCTACCTGGCAGGACCAGTGGTCAGGGATGATGGGAATTGTAATCCAGAAACAGCTGCAGACCCAAGTGCGGGAAATTCTGGATCTAATGGGAGGCTATCATAGCTGCGTTGCATAATTCCCCACTGGCAAAACGGTGAAAATGTCTGGGAGAACCTGGCGGTATGGCAACCCATGTCAGAAGTGTTGTTTTTTGGCGAATTTCATTTTTTTGGTGTGCTTTTGGGGGGGAAAGCTCAACAACTTTGTCCCCCCAAAAAACTCAACAGCTTTTGTGTCCAGATCTTCATCTTCTGAAACATGACAACCCTACATAAAACCCATGACAACCCTACATAAAGATCACATGTGCACTGAAAATGGAAATCCTTTACTATAATCGGCTGTAGTTCCAAATATGAAAATAAAGTTTATCCAAAGGAGCGAACCCGCTGAACCACGTCATTCACTTTTATCTTTACCATTGCTGCTTTCTATTATGGCCACAAGGTGGCAGTATAGGACCACTCTGCAGACTCGAGGAGCCGCCGCCGCCGCTTGCTCTGAACTGCTAGATGTGTGGTTTGGGGGGGGGGGGGGCAGAAATGGCGAGTTTGCAGTTTGGATTTGTGATAGGAATTTTGAGGTCTTAGATATATGGTAATGTTCATAAGCGTGCCAACCAAGCACGTACATAGAGCAGCACAGGAAGACCGACCTGGAACCATTTTGATTCCTAAACTGAGCAAATGTTTTCTCTGCAAGGTCAAAGTGGGAAACCTCCCCATTGTCTCTTTCCTCACAAATCCTGTCTTAAGGGCACATTTAAGATATGAATAGGGTGTGAGCCTGTGATCTGGCCCAGGAACTAAGTATTTATCATTACAAAAGACTGGCCAGGCTACCCAGGCAATCCAATCAAGTCACCTGCCAGACAGGAGATAAACGACAGGAGAAAAACAACATTCAAATTTATGTTTTAGACTGCCTTTTTTGTGATGTAGGTATGATGTATCTGAGGGGTAGTCATAGGTTACACACATTCTGTGACGTACGTATGATGTTCATGGGGATGGTCTTGATCTACAGGGTGGCAATTTCAAAAGTCTATATAAGGCCTTGTGTGCCATTGTTCTGGGTACCTCCTCCTTTCCTGCGGGTGAGGGGAGCACCCTGTTGCAACAGATCAATAAAGATCAGGCTTACTAGCTGCTTTGCTTCTCAATATTCTCGGGTTGGCCTCTGTTATTTTCTCCTACCAATAGGGAACCTATGTAAGGACTCTATATGGGCTCTTGGATACCCCATAAGGGAAAAGGGCAATTTTTGTTTACAACAGATTCAAAGAGGAAGGCGGGCTTTGGCTGGAAACGGCGTCCCAGCCTTGCAGAGGCTTCCTGCTAATGCAATGCAGACTCTGCCGTCTGCTTAGAGGAGCGTATCTCCCTCTGCTTAAAATCCATCTGCCCATAAATTTGCAAATACAGTGGTACCTCAGGTTACATACGCTTCAGGTTACACACTCCGCTAACCCAGAAACACTGCTTCAGGTTAAGAACTTTGCTTCAGGATGAGAACAGAAATCGTGCTCCGGCGGCGGCAGCAGCAGGAGGCCCCATTAGCTAAAGTGGTGCTTCAGGTTAAGAACAGTTTCAGGTTAAGTACAGACCTCCGGAACAAATTAAGTGCTTAACCCGAGGTACCACTGTAAATCAAATATCTCAGAGAGACTCCAGAGCTCTCTCATCCTATGGAAGATAAATCCTTTAGAATTGCCCCTGGAACTGCTCGTCCCACAAGACGGGGGAGCTTATTTGTAGCAATGCTTTAATTCAACCTTCCCCCCCAAAAACCAGTCTCTCTCAACCTTGGGTCCCTAGGTGTTGTGGGACTACAACTCCCATCATTCCTAGCTAGCACGGCTGGTCAGGGATGGTGGGAGTTGTAGGTCAAGAACATCTGGGGACCCCAGGTTGAGAAAGGTTGCCCCAAATGCTGACTTCTGGATCTTTGGGACTACAACTCCCATCATCCCTGGCCAGTCTAGTGGCTGAGACTGATGGGGATTGTAGTCCAAAGATACAAATGAAACCTTAATACTGTTGGGCAACTCCTGAGGGCATAAAGCAGGGGTCAGCAAACTTTTTCAGCAGGGGGCCGGTCCACTGTCCCTCATGTAGCAGGAACCCCCCACCCCAATCATTCAGTTTGTACAAACTTCACACACTCACACTCACACACTACATATGCCACACTTCTGTTATAAATTCATAGAAAAATCAACCATACATCGGATTTGCACTGTTCCATTTTTATTTTACTCCATATGACAAGGACTATCAAAGGGGGGTGGCTTGGTTCTGGTCAGCCATAATCCCTTCACCATCCCAGCACATCCACAGGAGCCCTGCCCAGTTGCTATGCCAACCCTGATGGTCCCAGACAGAAGACCATCAAGATCACAGAGAACTTGCATATGGGAGTGGATTCAGCATGGACTGAAACAAAGGACAATGATCAGATCTTCCCTCTGGGGGCAGGAAACTGCCAACTCCCCTTTGTCTCCTGGAAGTGACTCATGGGCAGGGGAAAGGAGGAACCAGCCAGGTGACAGGACACTCAGGTTACCACCACAACTCCTCCCTCAACCCCTCCTTTCTGTAATGTATGCATGATATTTCTGGGGGTGGGCTTGATCTACAGTGTGGGAATTTCAAAAGTTTTTATAAGGTCTTGCACACCATCTTTCTGGGTCTTTCCTCTCTCCTGCAAGTGAGGGGAGCACCCTGTTGCAACAGTTCAATAAAGGCCAAGCCTACAGGCTGCTGATTTGCTCCAATTTACTCTGGTTGGTGTCTTTACTTTTTGTCCAAGGGAGCCCTCGGATTTTTCCGGTAACACTCATACCTTGTGGGGGGCCGGACTATATTTTGAAAGAAAAAAAATGAACGAATTCCTATGCCCCACAAATAATTTCATTGTAATTAATTGTTAATTTCATTGTACACAGGTGGTACATTGACAATAAAGGCATTATTATTATTATTATATTATTATTATTATATTGTACAGTGTTCTTGAAGCTACAAACACGAATCTGACCAAACTGCAGGAGGCAGTGGAAGACAGAAGTGCCTGGCGTGCTCTGGTCCATGGGGTCACGAAGAGTCGGACACGACTAAACGACTATAAACAACAACAACAATTATTATTATTATTATCACCCAGAGATGCATTTTAAATATGTTATGGAAATTACGGGGGGGGCACATCTTTAAAGTTAAATATTACAAATATTATGCCTGAATGTATCCTTTCAACTTGACAGCTCAGGGAAGTTACCTAGCTTTAAAAAGAATATAAAATCATCTCCTTTGCCAGTTCCCTCCATTCCAAAGCTATTTTCCCCTTGAAAAAGGACTCCAGGAAGTTCTCAGAGGTGACAATTGCTGGGCTCATCATTAGCCAAGGGAAGCCAAATCTCATCACCAGACTTGCCAAGGGGTCCAGACATGCAAAGGAAGTTCTATTGTACTTTTGGGTGGTGGGTACTTAAGACATATTTCTCTATGCTACTCTTATACCTGAGTCTTGCCCTGCCATGTCTGCTTATGCTAATCTTGTACCAAGGACTTGTCTGGACATGTTTGCCAAGGTTAACCCCTTCTGTGAAATGTCAGTGATGTAGCAATGACGTATCTATGATGCTGTACGAACTGTATTCTGGGATATAGTGGGAAAGTTTTTAAAGTCTTTGTCACCCCATCCTCGGGGTTCAAATTTGCTCTTTGAACCTATTGCGCAATAAACTTTGGTCTACAGCTATTTGCTCGGGTTGACTGGACTCCTTCCTTTATTCCGCAGGGACCCACAGGCTCTGCCCAACGAGCTGGGTGACTGAGCAGCCTCACACCTAGATTTTTCCGTAACAAATAAAAGGACACATTCTACTCATGTAAAAACACGCTGATTCCTGGACCGTCCGCGGGCCAGATTTAGAAGGTGATTGCGCCGGATCTGGCCCCCGGGCCTTAGTTTGCCTTCCCATGGCATAAAGGATAGCCACAAAGGATGGCAACAGATCTTGCTTCCCATTGCATTTACCATTTTTACCTGTCTGAAAAGTGGTACTGCTCTGTAACCTGAAGGATAACTGTTATCGGGAAAATAAATAAAAGAATTGTTCACGTCACAAAAATTGTGCCTTCTGTAATGAAAGAAGAGCTCAGCCCACTAACAACAGGAGAACCATCCATACATCCATGTTAGTTTACACATAAAGATCAACGTATGCCAGCCAGTGTTCACATAGGTACCCAAGAAAAGTTGGTGTTTATAAAAAGTGCTTTCAAATGTAGCAAGTAAATAATTTCTGACCAGCTAAACTGATTCACACACACTAATAATATCCTAGTTGTTGTGTTTCTATCACACCCTGCCACCAACAAACTCAACCTGGTTCTCCCTCTCCTATTTTAGTCTCACAACAACCCTGTGATGTAGGTCGGGCTAAAAAAAAAAGGAAGCTCCATGGCTAGAAGGGAGGGGAGATGAAAATAATTGTACCATGTACAGTGGTTTTGTGTGAGTGTATTAAAATAATGATAAATATTGATTAAAATGCCTTGGGGGGACAGCAAAAATGACTGCCATGAGCAACAAGAAAGTGCTATCACCAAATAAAAGAAACCTGGTTATGTATATCTGCTATTAAAATCTGTTGGTTTTATCTACAGTTTGGAAATTTTATTGAATGTCTGGTTTTTCTTACTAACTATTTTTAAATAATATTCCCTGTCTGGTTTTTTAATTTCATGTGATGTTTTCTGCTTCAGTTGAACGATATATACAGATTGCGATATAAATAAACTTATTAGGGTGCCATGTTAAAACTTATACAGAACTGGGTTTAAAAAAAGAAATCAGCCCTCAATTTGCCGTGACTCGGATTCGAACCGAGGTTGCTGCGGCCACAACGCAGAGTACTAACCACTATACGATCACGGCGTGCTACGAGGATCTTCCTGCTAAAGTGACTCTTGCTAGCTCTGATAGTGCAATGGAACTTCCATGTTCAGAGGAATTGTATCTCTTTAAATACCTGCTGCCTAGCAACCAAAGTTATAGGCCCGCAGAAGTTCGTTTCTTTTATGCCATGCTTGTGCGATTTCACAAAACCATCTGGCTCCCCACAGTGGAAGAGGTTGGGGGCAGATTCTAGGTCAAATGGATCTGTGATCTGATTCAACAGGGTTTGTAAGTAAGTAAGTAAGTAAGTAAAAGTAATAATAATCGTGTAGTCCCTCTCAGGAATCAAATGACAGGATTCTTTTAAAAACAATACAGTAATAATAATAATAATAATAATAATAATAATAATAATAATAATAATTTATACCACGCCCATCTAGCTTGGTTTCCCCAGCCACTCTGAGCGGCTTCCAACCGAATATTAAAAACAATACTGTGTGATCACTGCAAGAAACCCACATTAAAGTATTCACGCATGTTCCACGGGAACACCCACGTCTGAAAGTAGCCAAACTACTGCGGGTCTCAACGTGTCCACAAATCATCCCTCATCTCAAAACAGGAGCAGAGTTTAGGTTCAAGCCGAAAGAACTACCCTGTGCAATCCGAAACCTTGCCTCCTGGAGCTCATTGAGGAAACGTTGGGGTGAGATCTCAAGGAATTGTAATTCCTTCCCTGACCCAATAGATTTCCTTGCTTGTTTCTTTCCTAGGCGGCGGGTTAGGATACAGAGTTGCATAGCGCGTACAAAACTCCAGATGGATTATTTTTCCCCTCCCGCTGTACGGGTGGCTGCAGAAGCATTTCACTTCCAAGGCAAAATTAGCAGGCAGGGAGTCTTTGCAAGGCGAGTGTGAGAAAGGTTTCTCAAGCCTTAATCAGAATGTAAAGCACAGACGGGAGCAGTGTTTTTAGGAATCTTAATGAAGGCTAAATACTCGTGCAGCAGAGTGGCGCAGCGGAAGCGTGCTGGGCCCATAACCCAGAGGTCGATGGATCGAAACCATCCTCTGCTAGAGCAAATTTTTTTTCCCTCGTCCCAAATACAGTTTCTGACATTTTTATTTTATTTACAGCACTCTGCTGTACAATTTCCTTCCCTTTCCTTCCTGCTACCTGATTGGCTCTCGCATTATTTCTTCCGTGTATGAAAAAGCACCCCCTCCCCCCGAAAAAGGGAGCTTAACGTTCCTTTATACCGTATAAGCAGCTCTAAAGATACCATAATGATATAGTGTACAATGAACTGAAGCAACGATCGACGTGTGGTGTGTAACGCAAAAAAAAAAATGTTGTTGGCTTTGGAAGAAACAAAGGTTTTTTGAAAGAATAAGCAGTGAAGAGAGAGAAAAATTCTGCGCCCAACGTGGGGCTCGAACCCACGACCCTGAGATTAAGAGTCTCATGCTCTACCGACTGAGCTAGCCGGGCTGTTGAAAGCAAAGAGTTGAATCACCATCTATATAGCGTTACTCTAAAAAAAGAGAGTTTATGCAAGAACTATATTTCGGTTGGATTTCTTTCTTTATTTCAATCCCGGGCACCACTCTTATTCTGGATTTTATTATATTTAAACTGGAGGTGCGCATTTTGCAAAGCCGCTTAAGAGATCACAGCATCCAGGGTTATTTTTGAGCTGTATGGTCGGTGAGCTAGTCACTGACCAATGTCTGTGTGTTAGAACACGAACAAAAAGGGGTCTGCGTTTGAGGTTTACCTCCTTCCAATTGCTTTCCCTGTGTTGTGTCTTCTAGATTACAAAACTGCGGGCAGGAGGGTATTTTATAAATGACGTTTGAAAACTAACCGGGGAAGTTCGTGGTCTTCTGCTTTCTTTGTTGAGAGAAAAAGGAAAAAGGTAAAAGGCGGATCTACACGGATCCTCATGAATTCATATGATTTTTTCATTCAAATTAAATAAAACCACCATGATACTGTAGACCATGTCTTACTCTGTAGGCAGCATCAAAAAATTCACGCATCCACTGTTTCGGGGGCCGCAGGGCGCAAAAACATGGTTAAAAACACGGATCCTCATGGATCCTCATGATTTTTTGCACTAGATCAGCCCAAAGTCACCATCAGATCAAACATCATCACCATGGGCACAGCATCCACCACAAAAATCACGGATCCACGGCTTCGTGGGGAAACCGTGGCCCAAAACGTGGTTTTGA